CCCCTTTGCCCTGGATATAAGGGCCCCCGAGCGCAGCCCTGGCAGCAGCCGACCCGCTCCAGCGAGGCAGAGACAACCCGCACCTCCCGTCCAGCACCTCTGCTCCTGAGGAGTGACCCCGGCGGCCGGCAGCATGGGTAAGAGACGCCGCGGCCAGCCCGCGCTCGCCGTTGTCCGGCCGGCGCCAAAGGTTTCTTTTGGCTTCTACCCATGGGCTCTGGGGGCTTCCCTTTGCCTTGAAAAGCTGCTTCCGTGCAGCATCCTGCTGGGAGCCTCCCCTTCTGCTGGGGATCCTCAGGGAGACCAGGAGCCAGCCGGATTTTCCAGGCTAGACCTCCAACACCGACACGGCTCTCGGTGGAAGCTGGCTGTCCTTCGCTGCTGGGCGGGAGGGATGGGTGAGGGGCTGGGAGGGTGCAGAAGGGAGCTGAGCCGTGGTGGGAGCTGTGGTACCCTCGGCCAGGATTCCCCTCCCGGATCTGTCACTGGAGCAGATGCCGGTCACGGGTCCCCATTTACAGTCTCTGCTGAACTGGCACCTTTCGAGGACGTGGATGTGTCTCACTTTGTCCTTCTCTTCTTCTCCAACCAGACAGATGCAGAGTTCAGTGCTACGAGTACCCCACCTGCCCGGATGTTGTGAAAGGCAAGTCCCCTGGAGCCTGGTTTGGGATGGGGCTCTTTGGGAAAGAGCTCCCGGAGACCACCATCGATTAGCTGGGGGTGCTGGGTCCCTTCCCTCAGGGGAGCAGCCTGGATCTCCTTCAGGGGGATCCCCTTCTGCTGCTCTCTTTCCTCTGGGTCAGGAATGGAACCAGGGCTGGAGAGCCGTCAAGGAGCAGGGAGGGATGGGATGGGATAGAATTAGGAACAGAAATAGGATGAGGAATAGAAATAGGAATAGAAATAGCATTGGAATGGAATGGAATGGAATGGAATTAGAATAGAGGTTCCAGCTGGAAGGACCTACAAGGATGATGCAGTTCATCCCCTCTTGAAGCTCTTCTTTCCCTTTGGGCTGGCTCACGGCACGTTCTGACACCAGCTTCCCATCTCCCCAGCCCCTAGAGAGGAGATCGCCTACGTGACCTGCACCTACAGGGAAACGTGCATCGACCAACCCGACTTCCTGGCCACCATCGACCTCAACCCCAGATCTCCCTGTTATTGCCAGGTACCTGGGTCTCGCCTGGGTTGGTCTTGTGCTGGTGACCAGCTGCTGGCTCTGTGTGTCACGTCCATGACCCTGACTCCTCTCCACTGTCCGTGTGCCTGGCTGTCGTTGAATCCTCTCCCTCTCTGTGTCCGGGGGACAAGTTGGCTCTGACTCACTTCCCAGCTCACTTCCAGAGCATCTCGGTGCTGCTAGGGAGCTCCGGAGCACGTGCTCTGAGCCGCGGTGTTGGTTCGCGACGCTGTGTGATGGGCGGTACCAGCCTGGCTGCCGGGATCCTGGCCGGGACACCGGCCTTCGCCCGTCCCTGCGGGCTGCCAGGACAGGTTGGCTGCATCCCGGGGCTGAGGTAGCCTGAGTAGCCCATCGCCACGAGAGCGCGGGAGAAAAGGCACTTCTAAGGCAACACAGGCCTCTGGGAGTCCTTGGCACCTTTTAACTGCGGAATTAGGGGGAGTGGGCAGAGCAAGGTGCCAGCGTTGTGTCCATGACAGCCCTCACGCCTTCACCTCCGGGATTTTCTGGACTGGAGTGGGGTGGGGTGAGGAATTCCGGGGTGACTCTCCCCGCTGCTCAGACGCACGCAGGACCCTGACCGAGCGCAGCGGCCGGTGCAAGGAGCAGCGTGTGTGTCCCCCGAGTCCCCAGAGGCAGACCCAGCCTCGGACC